TACAACAACGGCTTTGTCTACTGCGAGCAGCTCTATTCTGCAGAGCCTTTGTCAGCTCCTTTTCTTACAGTTCGCCGTCCTACGTAATTGGTCTTACTGACTTCTGACTTGAGGAAACCTCTGTAGTCGACTATCCCTTCCTTCTGCAGGGCTATAGCGGGGGTATGTGGCCAAATCTATGGGTGGGGCCATACTGTATGCCTTACTTTTAACACAATTTGCTATCCAAAATATTAGGTATATACGCCAGCTTTCAAAAAACTGACATTGTCGGAGTTCGCATAATAAGCATAGTTCGCAGGGTATACCAGCAGAAGAAACTGATGTAAGCGAAGGCCGTAATGTGCAAGTGTATGACGCGCGGCGATGCTGGGAAGATGGACCTGATTATGCCCGCGATGGCTTCCAATGTCTAGCATCAGTGAAGGTTCTTCCTGCAGCTAGTCATACGGTTCTATGATTGTGAAATGTAGCCGTTGCCACTTTATTACTTCGCCCACACATTTTCACCAATATGACTGTCAAATTCCACGCGTAAATTTTCCTCTCACGTGTGGAAGTTTATTTTTCCTTATATGCTTGAACACTTTTTGAAGAATTCAAAGGAGTTTTTCCGTGTCTCATCTTTGTTGTCTTTTTTTCACTTCACTGCCACGTATCTTTCGGCGTCGCCAATAATCTGGGGTACTGCTCATAAATTAACCCATGCATAAGTTTGCGCAGTTACCCTGTGTGACTTCTCGAGTACTTATATCCAAAATATCAATCTGCCTATCTTTATATTATAGAGCTGGCCTTCATTGACGGAATAAAAAAAGACGATGTGGGTTTAAATTTAAGTTCATTTATCCGAGATTATCGGGTCTTGATGCTTCAACAAGTCGAGACTTCTGTGTGCCATATTCTGGTTTATCCAAACTAAATGAAAATACGTTTTCCTCATCCCGTCATATTTGAAAAATGCCGACGGACGATGGAGATTCTGCCCAAAACATCCCCAATGCACCCGCTAGTAATGAACTACTCTTACTCCTATCGTCCTTTTAGTGAAAGTGGGAAATATGCGTGTAGCTACGAAGCACAGAGATTCGAATGAAAAGGCACTGACTACTGCCGAATATAATAAACAGGCCGAGGAATACAATTCGGAGTATGCTTTTTAATAGAAAACTATTGTTGTTTAGAATAGTAGCTCATCCACAACATGACTTTCTCACGAAAGAGGAGCTCGAATTTCATGACAAAACTGTTCGTGAAATGCAAAACAAACCTGAGCCAACAGTGGTGAAGCCGACCCAGCCAAGCCCTGGTAGCAAGGGTTCGATGCGCATCTGCCACCAACCTTAGATGTAGCATGGTAAAGATTATTTCAAATTGTGTACTTCTCATAAAACTTTTTGGTGTGGGGCTCCTTTTTGCTTCTTTTTGTAATTTTCGGAAGGGGGTTTGAATGCACAATTATTTAATAATTGGCATGCTGACCTGGGGATCCGCATATTTGAGCTTAATACTGAGTTTATTGGAAGTATCGACAGTATTGCAGTGGAAGTTGGGGTTAAATTAAAAATTACCTTAAATCGGGATGGCATCTAAATAACTTACACTTGTGACCGTTGTGGTTATCTGGACACCTTCGTAGATCGGCCGCCGTGTGGCCAAAATAGGATAATGATTGGGAGTTTGCGAGTTTAGCGGGGGCATCACCAAATCTCGCATAACACATCTGTGGCCTGATTTGAAGACTACAATGTAGCCTCGCAAATGTTCGTCTCACGTCGCAAGCCTTGTTTTTTTTTGCAGGTTGTCCGTATATTGAACGTTTATTCTGTGCATCTTGTCAGGCTTCCACTCTTGCTTCCTTCCCGGAGGTTCAAGGGGAGTTCTGGAAGG